GTGAACAGTCCAGATCAACAGTACTGGATATCCTATGGCAAAAAGGCCTAGAGACATTTTTCGGATTGCTAAGAATTTGATCCGCTTGCGGGCTCGTCAAATGTTTAAGACCAGCCACACTTTCTACCAAGTGCTCACAGGAGTCTATTTCAGATGGAACACAAGAAGTAGTGGATGGTGTCGAGTCACTCGGAAGGAGGTGAGTTGTGTTTATATCAACGAGCGGGATACACGGTAAAGAGAAGTCGTTTACAAGTTCACGGTAAGATTCTATTGAGCCAGTGGGGAGATCAGAATAAGATACGGATGGAGCAATGTTCTTACGTTTGATTTTATCGAATTTAGTGGCTGATTTGGATCTTTTACAGATGTTATATTCGACAGGTGAAATCAAGTGTTTTTTTAGATAAACGTGACATCTTTGTGGAATTATTTGTAAGCAGAGTTGTGTTACTATAGGCACAATGTCTGTTTGGAATTATGAAGCCAAAAACTACAGCGAAAATTACTAAAATAAGAATAACCGAGGAGAATTTGTAAGAGATGAGTTAATATGTACCGTTGAACTAGGGTAAAAAGATCGGAAAGCGAAAAAGAAAATACACGTGAAAAAAGGTACAACCTTCAAAGTACGCGCGGAGACGTCTGACTGCTAATTGATATCTACTGAAGAGGACGTCCAATTTGTCCTATGTAGTGTTTTCATTGCCTGGGCAGTTTATTTTGTGTATGTTATTACGTTTGTCTTCTTTCGTTGATTATTTCATTGACGTCCAAAGGATTTGTCAGGAGAAAAGCTACGAATCAAGGGCTTTGTTACTTCAAACGGTTGAATGGTGAAGACTTCAACAACCTAGAGATGGCTGAGATCTTCAGCACAAACTTTACCGATCAGTTAAACCAAGCATCCACATGTTCAGAATACTACGCCAACCCAGTGCCAGCTGACGGCTTAGTGTATATCCGTATCACTCCTGACTTAGTACATAAGCAAATAAAATCCTTACACCCAGGCAAGTCACCAAGTTGTGGCAATAGTCTTGAAGCAATGTGTGGAAGTCCTCTGTTCACCGATATTTGACCAGTGCAGGCACTCACTGTAGTCACATTAACTCCCAGTTGAATGGAAACAAGCTACTCTCTCTTGGGTGCTATCACCCCGCAATTATCTTTAAATCTACTTAAGACGTATGCGCGCTCACATTTGGAGGTTCACTATGTCATGTCGCTGCTTAAAAGAGACATAAATCTCTTGATTCGGGTGAACAGACTTGCCACCAAATGGGTGTAAGGGTTGATAAATAAACCTTATGATGATACACTGCAGCACTTGGGATTATTTCCACTGAGTTACAGGAGAATCGGAGGTGATCTGATTATGGCGCACAACATACGAAGCACGCCAAACCATCTCAACGTGAGCATCTTAACGATGCATCACCACCACTCACCTCGCGGCAATCCTCGAAAACAAGCGAATACTCAGTTTCCAGCACACGTTTTCTCACTTCGAGTAGTCGCAACTTGGAGTGCTCTCCCAACCGAGGTGACCACAGCCCCCTCAGTAGACAGCTTTAAGAAGAGACTTGATAATCACGTGCTCACATACGGATAATCATCTCCCTCTTGGACAAGCTGTTCATGATAATATCTCGAGGCCTGCTAGTTGTTATCACTGCCATCTCCTCAGATAACTTACCTAACCTATCTCGCCTATTTTCTTTGTTTCCTCTCCCTTGCTTACACTACGGTCCTCTCTCACAATCTTCACTACCAATTAACAAATTCATCCATATATTACTCAGTTCTGAAATTTTATTCATATTAGCATTAGAATTTTATCCTTATTATCCTTATTACTCTCTACATTGTAACTAACTGATCTCTGGTCTGATAATGCGAAACCCTACTGCCCTGAAACAAACGTTTTCATTCAAATCCCGAGACATACAAACTCACAACCAAGTGCCAACTGACTAGAATTAGACAGTCGAGTGAATAGACCTCCATCCATTGGACATTACCGAACACCTGGAACCGTGCAGAAAGAGCAAGAATCGAGCGCAAAGAAATCAATTGGTTTACATTAGCTCGTGTGAAAGATATTGGATACTGGACGTTGGTTGACCTTTCACGTAAATTAAATCGAAGAAAATAATGGGGAAGGTTATGTCCTCAGTTCGGCGGTTTATTATAAACTATAATGTTGAAGATAGAGCTATGAAATATTTGGAAGTCAATAAAAACTCTTCCAAAGCTCCTCCCAAGCACCGGGGTAGCGTGTTTGTGGCAGATGAACAATATGATAAGCTATCATCACATAATCCAAAATTGAATCAAAATGTCGACTCTTTAGAAATAGTAGCAAAGTCTATAACCAAGGGCATATTACCGGAAGGCATTGAATACGTTAGTGAAACTGCCCGTAGGCTTCCAAAGGTTCTTGTTTTTATAGCATTATTCTACGAGTTTTCAGAAATATGAAGACATTCACCCTTTTCCTGCACCAGCTAAAGACTTTGGCTTCATTGTCCCAGAAACCATTCCGAAGGGAAGACTCACAATGCGTCAAGCCGTCAAACTCATATCAACTCATCAGAAAAACCTTGCAGATGTTGATAGTTTAAGGGAATCGTTTTGCCTTGACAAAGAAAAGGTAAGCATGTTCCCCATAATATAGTTTTTGTTAGACCAAACAAATCCTTGACTATTTTTCCTTGTTTGAGATCCATGCAAAAAGCGTTTGGACTCCTCCCATGCAACAGTCCGAACAAAAGTTGTTAGACGAGGCAGTGTCGAACGAGCAAAATGACCAGGAAAATTTAGGAGGGAAAGACTATTTTCAACGAAAAATAGCATTAAAACAATTAAATATGAAATAAATGAACTGATGCTGTTTCTTATAAATAAATAGTGAATACACAGTCGTGTGCTGACTTTCACTTCCATGTATGATTGTTAGGCTTTTGTTTTTTCCACAGGAATGCATGCGCTGAAATTTTGTTTCCGTATATATCGGCCTTGTGGTGTATATCATTTTTGCAAACCGATTGTTCGCTGTCATGCTGTCAAATTATCATGGTTACCCGAAGATCTTACAGAACATTTTGATGTTTTTAAGAAAAATACAATATCTAAATATGAAAATGCCACTAAACTCCTGACATCTGGGGCAAAAGAATGTGACCTGTAAGTTAAAATACGCATCATTGTTTAAGACTCGTCAGTTTTTGTATGAACAATAAAACAGTTTATAATTTTTCTCTCAATTCAGTTAATGAGTTGTCATCAAATCAATGCTAACATCATTGACCACTATTTAAATAGCTACTTAAGTCCTTTATCTCATGTCAATATATGATAGTTAAAGGATGTACAGCTTGCAAGTCAGTACAATGTTTTAACTGATCACAGAACACTAATTATAGGGTTATTTTGTTTATATGATAAACTCAGTATGCTTTGCTTACTTAGTTCTCATCAATTTTACCAATCTCAAATCAATGCGACACTGGTTATATTACTTTAGTTGGTTGAAACTCAAGACATTGACGACAAGGTGTGATATTAGTCTTTTGAAATATGAATTCTTAGTTTAAGTAGTATTAACAATAAAACATTGTTAGTTCCACAAATTAAAGTGTGTCACGCCTCAATCGTGCATGTATATCTTAACTTTTCTGAGGATTCGTGGCGTCATTCAGTCTCTTACAATGTAAACCTTGGTAGGTACGCACATCAGGTCAAGTTATCATACCACTTTAGCACAGAGAGATCGAATTGTCTATTCAAATCGCATTGTAGTAGAGCTAGTAGAAGTATTAACAGCGATCGAGAAGATTAGGGTTCGGAAATCTGGTCCGAGAAGCAAAATCCAGTGAAATAAATTGAAAAAGAGGTAAAACGTCGTGAGGAATTCAGAAGATTATAATTTGAGAGAAGAAACAATGGATACACCTGTGCCACTGCAAACGATTACGAGCCACATCATTCAGTCTCTAACCACCGGTCACTATTGTCTGGCGGACTCCAACCAGTTGGTCTACATCAACCAAGATGATTCATTCCAGTTGTCAATGACTTAATGAGTTTGTGCTATGTTTTGGTTTGGCCTCACCTAGTTTTCTTCCAGCCTACCCCCACATCACAAAACATCGCAATCATGGTAATAATATTTTTTGCATATATCATAACCTTTCCTGTATATTCACCTTTGGTTTCAAGTTTTATTGAAATAGCCCAGAAAACTTATATCGGCGCACGTTTTAGTCGAACGTGTAGACCACTTCACTTATCTCGGGAGTCTCATCAGTGCTGATGGCCTGGTGACTGACGAAATCTCAGCACGGATACAGAAAGCTCGATTGGCTTTTGCCAACCTGCGTCACTTATGGCGTAGGCGAGATATCCGTTTTCTGACTAAAGGACGAGTGTACTGTGCAGTGGTTCGCTCCGTCTTACTTTATGGCTGTGAAACATGGCCAGTGAGAGTGGAAGATATTCGTAGGTTACTGGTTTTCGATCATAGGTGTCTTCGAAGCATTGCTCGTATATCGTGGGACACCCGAGTGAGCAACGCTGTTATTAGGAATCGGGTGCTAGGTAAGAATGGCAGATCAATCGATGAAGTGGTGAAACTTCATCAGTTGAGGTGGTTGGGACATGTGTTGCGTATGCCCAACCACCGACTGCCTCGACGAGCCATGTTTTGTAGTGTAGGAATAGGTTGGAAGAAAGCTAGGGGCGGCCAAACCAAAACATGGCAGAAATCCATGAAGTCATTGACTAGTGGACTGAGCCATGTCGGTAATTGCCGACTACCTGGTTGGGGTCCGCGAGATGATAATAATCGATGGTTAGAGACCTTGAATGACATGGCTCAAAATCGTTTGCAATGGCGCCAGTGCATTTATTCTCTGTGTTCTCTCAAATGCTAATCTTCTGGATTCTTCAACCCCTCTAGTTTCGACTCTCTAAACTTTTCTCACTGAATCATACTTCTTGAATAGTATCTTCTAATCCTAACCTCTCCGATTACTGCTAATACCTTTACTACCTCTTCTACTATTGGATTTGAATTGACGATTACTTCTCTGTGCTGATGTGGTATGGCGACATGAACTGATGTACTTACGTACAAAGTTCTACGTTGCATCTGACTGACTGACTGACTGCACGTTTTAGATAAACACTCATGACAGTATCCCTTGAGAGTGAAAGTTTTATCCGACAAATCTTGTTTACTATTTTTATTCGCAGCAAGCTTCTGTAGTCCCTCTGATAAATTAACTGTAACACTGTAATCTTCAGAGGATATACCTATTTATCGGGACCTCACTAACCGTCAGCTTCATTCTTATTTTCCATTTATTTTTCTGGTCATTTCTTGTTTCTAGTGCTGCGATCACCACCACTGTTATCCTTCAATGTTAAGTTTCTATTTCTGACTGTAATACTTTAACCCAGAGGAGCTTTGGGTGGATTACTAAACCACAAAATCGTTATTTCACTCAGTGTTGTACTTTCTTCAATTCATGACATTCAAACTTGATTCGGTTGTCAGTTGATATGACTTTTGCGGTAAACAGGGATAGCGTTGATTGAAATTGGTTAAGACTCTCCTAGTCGAAAATACAGTGCGCTTTGTACGTTATTGGTGTCAGTGTGGATAGCAAGTAACGTTTTCTGACATAGACACTAGTCGCTCTGTAGATATAATTTAGCATCTGGAATTTAATTTTGTTTTAAATAGTAACTATGCACCTACTATTGAGACCATTCATTGAAATCCCGAGGTGAAATATCCTTTTGTCGTTATTACATCTAAATAGGCCAGAAAAAACTAAAAAATGCAGATACTATCAAGTAATAGTTTAAATACAGTTTGTGACTTCGTAACAATCCAACCTGTCTCAAAAAGTCTAACCTACAACCCTCATATTCGTCGTAAAATACATCACAATTAAACCATTGGTTTGGAATTTATTGATCTATGTTCACCATTTTCAATTAGTTCGTATTCTTTCGACCTAAGTGTTCAACGGGCACCACGATAAGGATGTAAAAACCACTTCATAGTTCCTGGTGTCCATAATTTTTTCGAGTGATATGACTGGTCATGACAATAGGTTTACTGTATAGATTTTCTTTACACTCTTCAATATTCTTGATAATACATATAAATTGCATCAATCCTTTTCCAGTCTCCCTTTATCTGAGTGTTGGAAGGAGTTGAGACCAATAGTAGATGTAATTGAAGAATTGGATGTATTACTTGAAGCTGATAAGGAAGTAGAACAGTTAATCGCAGGTAATGCGTTCTATTTTTTTTATGAATTATCTCATACAATACAATATCGCAATATTTCGGTATTAACACATTCTAATTCCAAGTTTGCTGGATTTGGATAGCCGGTTGGTTTCAATAAACCTCACTCTAGGTGTAGCTCTTACTCATGTACTTGTTGAATGAGTTCATTACATTAAATTTAAAATTGCCTAATGAAGAGTTATTTTAGTGTCTTTCTGTTCTTAAAACTGAGTATGTAACTATTTCTTACATTTCAATATCATATAGGTGTAATTCATTGGAAATAAAATAATGTGTAAATTCAGAAGAATTTTGATTAAAACGGTCACCTATTAATTATCGTAAATAATATTGAAGTGTTTATATTACGTAGTTGTTTATGTCATCATTACTATTAATGATTCTGACCACAATCAAGCTGAAAAACAGATACATTGAAGCTAGCACTGATACCTCATATTTCCTATCGATTTCGAAGAAAAAGTCAAACTAAAAACAGCGTCCAAACGATTTCTGCAACAACTATCTCATTAAAACTGGAGCTAGTTTCTTATCTAACATTGTCGTGACACTCTTTTCTAGATAGCACATCATCTGGCCTATAAGGAATCGACCTTCCACCATAAGGTTTACTTGACTATAACTAGTGTAGACGCTGAAAAAATTAAGTTATCACTGCCTTAGGCAACAATATCGGTATGTTTAGGATGTTTCTCCTTCAAACAAGGGTTCAGAACTGATCTGCGTCAGCACTTGGACTAAGAATAGGGAGTGGAGTAGTTGAGCTTATCAATCACTTCATCAGTTTTGAAATTCTCATCTCTAATTGGTTAGTGTCTGTTAAAATCTTTTGATGAATTCGAGAAGTTTGATTAGCTTTACTCAACTTATGTCACTTGTAATTTACGCGAAACATCCTTTTGCCAACCGAAAGGCGAATTTACTGCGTAGTAGTTCGCTCTGTTCTGCCTAATGAGCGTGAAACGTGGCCCTTAAAAATAGGCAAGTACGTATTTCGTTGTTGAAGTCTCCATGATTACCGTAACCAAATGGTTTGATAGTTTTGATAAAATAGCTTTAAATAGCTAGCAATGGTACATGTACATTCTCTTGTCTTCCCTTAAGTTCGAAGTTTATGGATTTCACACAATCTTTTATTTCACCAATTTATGTTCTCCAGTCATGTCTTCGATACTTTATATTTTCTGTTACCACTGATCCTGATGCCCTAACAACTTAAACCAATGTACACAAGTACCAGGTTATCCGTTGCGTTTGAATGACCGTATAAGAACCCACGAAACAGTTAAAAATATTGTTGAATATAGTTTGTGGATTATATTGTTAACTGTGTGCAAATCATAACCTCATTTTTCCTTTCATTCAATATTCGCTGGAACCAATAATTAGATATTGTTGGTACTGATGCTGAGGACGATATCAATGATTTAAGAGCGATTGCTGAGTTGGAGCGTAATGAACGAAACATTCAGCGTAAAGCGTTAGAAAAAAAGGTATCAGATTGTCTACCACTTTACTATAAAAAATTGAGTTTTGTAATAATTTCTAAGAGCATGTCTATGATAAAATTAAACAAGAATGGGGAGAGTGGACATCCTTGACGGACACCACTTGATGTAGAGAATTCCGGTGACAGTTCGCCATAAGCTCTCACCCGACCAGTGGTGTTCGAGTAGAGAGCTTGTATAAGGTTAATGTACTTCTCTGGTACACCTTTCAATGACAAACACTGCCACAGAACCTCGCGATCCACAAAGTCGTATGCTGCCCTAAGGTCCAGGAATACAACTGTTGTAGGACACCTAAATGTATGTCTGTGTTCCAGGACCTGTCTTAGTGTGAAGATGTGGTCTATACATCCACGTCCAAGTCTGAAACCAGACTGGTTTTCTCTAGTCTGCTCTTCACGAGCACTAGTAAGGCGTCTAAGTATAGTCGAGGCTAGCTTAACTAATTTAATAAATGTTATGATTTATTGTTTAAGACTTATTCATCAGGTAACATATCTCAGAAAGAAAAAACCTAGTTTGATTTGTAGCTTCAGGCTATCATAAAATCAGTGATGCCGAAAATCAAACTTGGAAACCATTATTAAATTTTAAATATCAACTTTGAATTATAAAAAAAAATATCCTTTCAAACTAACGTAAATCCTACTTTGTATGAAGTTTATTTTGACTTTTTCCGTAATTCTTGTGGTAGCACTGAAAATATGTTCGCTAGTTCATTTGTAAAATGAAATTGATGGTAGAAGTGACTTTTATAATATTACAAGGACGAAGTAAGCATACTGCGCTGTACTATGTCGGTGGACATAGTAGTCTCCTTCATGCGCCAGAAAACATTGATTTCAAACTAGAAGAAAAAGGATCAGAATAAGCTTTCTCAACATGTGTTAACCACTGACCATCAGGAAAATACAACTGTTATGATCTATTGACTGTCGTCTGAATGATGATGGTGGACGTATGTGACTTAAGCTGTATCTTACAGTATTATTATTTTTGGAGCTTAGATTGTTAATGTGTTATTGTTATCATCCTAAATTTAGTACTTAGTTACATGTTCTATCGTAAGAATCCGATACAAGATTTCTCAAGTAGTTGTAGTTTTCAAATTAATTTCCTTTTTAGTTTTGCGCTTAGAAAACTGGATTTTTATAAAGAGTTAAACTCACGTGTATACAAATGCGACATTTAATAATAACAAGTGCCTAGCACCTTATGATTTCTTACTAACTTGTTGCAAATCTAACATTTTAGCTTCTTAATATGCTGCTTCCAGTCGATGAACGTGATCTTGATTCAGCTGTGGTACTGGAGTTATTCGCTGGGGCTGGTGGTAAGGAAGCTGGTTTATTTGCTCATGATTTACTGAATATGTATCATGCTCTTGCCATACAACGAAATTGGTCTTTTACTGTTACACAAAAAACTGTGATGTCAAATGAAGAATGTATTCCATCTCATAATGAAACTTCACTTTCGTATGTTCGTGTTGAAATAGAAGGTGAACCAACTACAGAATCCGGCATAACGTCACTTGGTGCTTACGGTCAGTTAAAATGGGAGGCTGGTGTTCATCGAGTACAGCGTGTTCCTGTTACTAGTAGTCAGAATAAGATCCATACAAGTACAGTAGCAGTATCGATACAACCTAAGTATGGCAATGTAAGTACGTTAAAAACCCCTACTTTTGCTAATTTTGTTTATTGATTATTGTGTATTTGAACATAAGCGCCAGTTTCATTTCACATAATATCAACATAGTATGAAAGCACTTTAAAATTAACTTCTGTATTTTGGTGCCATGATCCTACTTACCCTAAGTATCTGTGTGCCTTACTATAAATCTTAGCGAACAAAATCAGTCAGTCAGCCACAACGTAGACCCTGGTAGTAATAACAATTATATCTCTGTGCTAATGTGGTGTACTGGTGTACTTACGTACGAAGTTCTACGTTGTAACTGAGTGACTGAGAGTTTTTACCAGCCTGTGCCTAGGCTGATTCCGCTCTTCTTAGTATTCAAAGCCAAACGGGATGACTTTCCGAGCATCTTTCCGCTCGGTAGATGCTACCGCAACCCATTGCTTCTATCTTACCGTATTGTACTGTCTACTGTCTACTAGGATCCAAACTAAGGGCGCAAATTTTTCTTTAGAACATAATGTTATACCTACACTAGCAAGGTCACGTGAAGCAGCAGTGATGCCACCAGATACACAAAAAGTGAGTCTAGTGGTGCTTTATTTTGACGTAGTGAGGTAAAATAAATGACACTACTCAGATGTTGTGTGCACGTTTCGGAGACGCAGCATACGTCGACGGTACGAGATTCTGAAATCCTAGATAAGCAAGCTTGTTGTCCTATTTGGCACATGGATCGACCATTGAAAGCTCCAATATGCAGTTTAGAGTGTGGTTTCAGGATACTAAGATTAACGTTTCGTGGACTCAAATCGTTTGTGTCAGGGGCGTCAGGAGACAAAGGGATATGAGGAGGTTTGGTCACGGAGGTAGGAGCGTTGTTAGGAAGTGTAAGAAGGATTTCATTGTGACCGATTTGGTCTCGTGTGTTGTTAAGACTGTGAGGGCGGACATCACTTTCCGGCTACCAACACCGTGCAAAGGTATTTCTTGAGGGGCCTGGAAAGGAAATTGGATTGACGTGGGTCTCAGCAACCTGGGAGCGGACTGCATAGTCCAAAGTTCACTCATGGCCCTTTTGTGGGAAGTTTTTGAAGTGTTAGCTCCGCTCTTCAAATGGTCTTACTTCCAGAGATGGAAGTCCGTGGGTCAAAGTTAGGTGTGACATTTTACGGTCGACCTTTTCTAACCTCTTCTTTCTTTGTAAGAAGCCAGCATCGCTACAAATGCTGGTTGTCTGAAGGAAACACCTTACTAATCTCACACCTCTCTGTAGTCAGCAGAATGATTTCGCCCTCAGACGTTAGGTTTTTGCTGGCACGATAGAACCTGAAGGAACATATGTTTCAGTCAATATAGCAGCTGGGTTGGGTCATCACGTCGGGCAAGCCTGACCATCACATCAAGGTAGCAGTTACGGTCTAGGTTCGTCAGTATTATCCGATTTCAACAATTTTGTTCAACTTTGTCAATGTGATGATTTTGAACCAACAATTCCTTAGTCTGACATTCTAACAGGAAATTCACTCGTTTACTTAAAATATGCCGATTCTATTCGATAAGGACGCTGAAAAAATGCAGAATCTTTTGATAACATTGAACAACAATGCAAGCATGTTCGGATTGCGTTTTTTTCCTTCGAAGTGCATAATATAGCTGGATGGGTCATCATCATCATTAGCAATCCCGAACACCATGTCACACCATGCGACGTAATTATTTTTCACTTTATTATGCCATTTTGAATACAACAACGTATAATATTACCAGTTTAATATCCTTTTTATAACAATCAACTGAATGATGGACTTCATTAAATACAATGAATGTACTCATTGTTTAATTATTTATAGATATATGTTAATAATTAAACGACGCTACAATCTATTCGTGCTTGTGTGCCTGTATCTTAAGTATGAATTCGACTCAAAAAATCGAAATTTCAGATGCCGGAAAATATCAGGAAGCTTGAGACTTAGCTTTCTTACAAGGTATAGATTCAGATTCAACCCATTTGTCACTGTCATGAACCGATCACACATCTCAGTCACTAAACAAATGGCTCATTGGTACCATCTTTGACCACAACTTTAGGTAGTGGTAACTCAAATCTGTCAGAGAGCATCAGTCCCCTGAATATTAAACCTGCTTATTGCTAGAGAGTACCGAATAGCACGAAGCTTGGATCCAAGGTTTCCTTTTGATACTCGCAAGCCAAATAATAACAATATATTTATGGAGTCAGGATGCATACATGAGAATGAATCTGTCCTAAGAAAACTACGAACTCTCAAAGTTACTTAATGCAATAAGACCTACATGTCAAGAAAGTTGGTCTTCTTTCATATTAGTATTTAGCCCATCTCAAAATATCTGAGTAACTATCTGAGATAAATTGAAGTAAGACAGTAGTGTATTGCGCTGAAACAACTTATCGAGTAAATCTGTTGGTCCGATAAACTCACCAGAATTACGCAAAAGACATCAGATGTGCATAACACCGGAGTTAACAGATATGATAGTCTTTTCACATTCAAAGTTTGAAAAAGGAAATGTCTCTACCTAAATTTGCACTATTCTGCTTCAGTAAACGTAAGCCACCAAAAGCCCTAGTACGATCGAGGCCTGGTAGAATTCTCTGTCCCTCTCTAGATTCTGTCATTTGGCCACGCGTATACGGTCACTGCCAGGAAAATATTTGTGCAAACAATATTTCAAACAATTTTCACTCGATCGAAGTTCACAATTTTAGTTAATCAGCTTCTTTTTCTTAAGGTTATATTCCTAATCTTCGCACAACTAATTTTTTCTTTATGCCACTCATAATGGATTTGGGAGCATTACTTACTACCGTGTAGATCCATCTCGGATCTGAAAATCTGTACCTATGCTGATACTCTATCAGGTGAAATGGACTCTGTTGATGCTTTGTAGAATACCATACATTTGGTTTCCTTTGTAGATTTGAACTGGGCGAAAACACCAGCATTTACTAAATAAAATGGATCAACCCTACTTCAAGTCTTTTCGTTAGCTGCTAACGTAAAATTACAATTAGTATTATTAGTAGAAATGAAAGTTTATCATAATTTAGTTCCCAAAGTTGAAATGGATGTACAAAACGGAACGGAACGCCATAGTTAGAGATACAAGACGTGACTATCTTTGTGAAAAGACTGTTGAATTGATCTTCCCTCATTTAAAGGCTTTTACCCATAAAATGATTTCAAACAGATAGAAATTTTTATAAATACTAATGTTAATCATATTCTCATTAAAAGGTTGGTGTCGATATATCTGATGATGATTTAAAATGGGAATTCCACCGACCAACAGGTCCTGGAGGTCAGAATTTGAACAAGTCAACCAGTGCCGTTCGTTTGACACATTTACCAACTGGAATAGTTATTTCATGTCAACGTGAACGTTATCAACATGCGAACAAAGAATATGCATTGGAAATGCTCAGAGAAAAGTTAGTTTGCTTTTTAAAAACATATTTTATAGTTTATATCATAGACTGACTATAACTATACAGCAATTGAAAACAGGAAAGCACTGGACGGCTATTTTATCCTAGTGTGGGACAGCAATATCTGTGTACAACCCCACCTGGATTCAAACCATAACCCTGAGGTCTCGCAGCGAATATTTAACATTTAGACCATTGAGCCACTACCTAGTGGTTTACGTGTCCAACTTCAGTCAATTCGTTTTATTGCTTCCACATACCCCATATAGTGGAAATTTTTGGCAAGATAGAGCAGTTATCCCGTGTTTCTTGATTTCTATTGGTTGTCTAACTAAGAGGTAAAGTGAGAAATAATCTCTTGTTTATTCCTAATGAATAAACAACAAACCTTGGTAAAAACATATTTGTTATTTCATTGTGACTAATTACTAATTTTCTTAATCTATCTTATACGACAGCTTTTACTTTTTTCTATCTAAATATCTTCTCCATAATTCAGTCTTTTCACAATCAACTAAAGTTTCATGTACTTTGATTTTGCAAAACTTGATAATTTGTTGCATCTGATAGTTATTAGTATTGCTTAAAATACTTGTTATAGATAATCTTATTGTGACCTGTTGTAAGTGTGCTTAAATGACATCCACTAAAATGCATCAGTTACTGAGCATACGCCCATTTAGTCTTGATGTTTTCAGTCACACATTCTCCAAGATATGAGCACCCACTATTCTCGATTGACAGTTTTCATACTGTTTTTCGGATTACACTTTCACATAAGCTATCAGTTTTCATAACCATATTTTTTATAGTTACGTTCAACTTCTGAGTCAGATTATGAGTCATTTGATTGGATGTTCGCATTTGCTATCGACTATTCACAATTGTTTATAGGTCCTTTTAGTCCAGTCAGTCAGCTACAACGTTGACCTTGGTAGGTACGCACATCAGGTCAAGTTATCATACCACATTAACACAGAGACATCGAATTGTCAATTCAAATCGCATTGTAGTAAAGCTAGTAGAAGTATTAACAGCGATCGAGAAGATTAGGGTTCGAAAATATGGTCCGAGAAGCAAACTCCAGTGAAATAAATTGAAAAGCGGGTAAAACGTCGTGAGGAATTCAAAAGATTAGAATTTGAGAGAAGAAACAATGGATACACCTGTGCCACTGCAAACGATTACGAGCTACATCATTCAGTCTCTAACCACCGGTCACCATTGTCTGGCGGACTCCAACCAGTTAGTCTACATCAACCAAGATGATTCATTCCAGTTGTCAATGACTTAATGAGTTTGTGCCATGTTTTGGTTTGGCCGCCCCTCGCTTTCTTCCAGCCTACCCCTACACCACAAAACGTTGCTGGTCGAGACAGTGAGTGGTTAGGCATAGGTAGTGCTTGTCTCAACTACCTCAACTGATGAAGAATCACTACTTCATCAATTGATTTGCCATCCTTGCCTAGTACCCGTTTCCTAACAAGAGCATTGTTGATTCGTGGTCCCAGGATATACGAGCAATTGTTCTAAGACACGTGTGATCGAATACCAGCAATCTACGAATATCGTCTACTCTTACTGACCATATTTCCCAGCCATAAAGGACGGAGCGAGCTGCTGCGCAGTAAACACGTCGTTTGGTTGGTAGACAGATAGCTCACTTACGCCATAAGTGACGCAAGTTGGCAAAAGCCAGTCGAGCCTTCTGTATCCATGCCGAGATTTCGTCATTCAACAGATCATCAGGACTGATGAGAGTTCTGAAATAAGTGAGGCGGTCGACATGCTCAACCACTTTACCCCCTATCAGTAATTCAGGCACTGATGAAAGCCAATCATGAGGCAACATTTAGCATTTCAAGGAAAAAATCGCAATCCGAACATGCTTGCATTGTTGTTCAATGTTATCAAAAGATTCTGCATTTTTTCAGCGTCCTTATCGAATAGAATCGGCATATTTTAAGTAAACGAGTGAATTTCCTGTTAGAATGTCAGACTAAGGAATTGTTGGTTCAAAATCATCACATTGACAAAGTTGAACAAAATTGTTGAAATCGGATAATACTGACGAACCTAGACCGTAACTGCTACCTTGATGTGATGGTCAGGCTTGCCCGACGTGATGACCCAACCCAGCTGCTATATTGACTGAAACATATGTTCCTTCAGGTTCTATCGTGCCAGCAAAAACCTAACGTCTGAGGGCGAAATCATTCTGCTGACTACAGAGAGGTGTGAGATTAGTAAGGTGTTTCCTTCAGACAACCAGCATTTGTAGCGATGCTGGCTTCTTACAAAGAAAGAAGAGGTTAGAAAAGGTCGACCGTAAAATGTCACACCTAACTTTGACCCACGGACTTCCATCTCTGGAAGTAAGACCATTTGAAGAGCGGAGCTAACACTTCAAAAACTTCCCACAAAAGGGCCATGAGTGAACTTTGGACTATGCAGTCCGCTCCCAGGTTGCTGAGACCCACGTCAATCCAATTTCCTTTCCAGGCCCCTCAAGAAATACCTTTGCACGGTGTTGGTAGCCGGAAAGTGATGTCCGCCCTCACAGTCTTAACAACACACGAGACCAAATCGGTCACAATGAAATCCTTCTTACACTTCCTAACAACGCTCCTACCTCCGTGACCAAACCTCCTCATATCCCTTTGTCTCCTGACGCCCCTGACACAAACGATTTGAGTCCACGAAACGTTAATCTTAGTATCCTGAAACCACACTCTAAACTGCATATTGGAGCTTTCAATGGTCGATCCATGTGCCAAATAGGACAACAAGCTTGCTTATCTAGGATTTCAGAATCTCGTACCGTCGACGTATGCTGCGTCTCCGAAACGTGCACACAACATCTGAGTAGTGTCATTTATTTTACCTCACCGCGTCAAAATGAGGTACTTCTGAGGCAGTCTGATGGTGTTAACACCTCTTTGTTGCTATGTTTTTATTTCAAATATCATATCTCTATTTTAATTTTCTATTTGCCATTGATTTAGCCGACTTTATTTCAATTATACAAGAAAAAACAATTTTGAGGTGGTTCATACTTACTTCACCTGATCATTTATTGCTTATGGTAATGTTGTCACACTAACATTGACAGGTACATCATGAATTGATGCTTCTCTGTAATATGTCCGTCTCTTCAGAGTTTGCTACAACTTTTATAATATGTCTTAGTGGTTCTTGGCATCTGCTTTTCAAAGATGTTTCACTAATTTTTTGCATTCCATGCTGGGATTATTTGTTTCATAATATTAGTTACACTAGATATTGCTGCATGGAAAATAATTATTAGCATCCCATATTATTATATCCCACACCATGTTTGTCTTAAAGTATACGTGTACAGTAGATTACTCAGTTCAGTGAATACTATTTTTTGTAAAATTTTACTGCTTACACCGTGATGTTCATGGGTTTTATTATATCAATCAGTTCATAGTAATCTGAGGACAAGCCAACTTTGTAAGAGAATCGGCTACGTCATAACAAATTTAGTAGAGATATATTTTGAATTTCCTGATCGATTTCGAGTAAATCAGGCATAGATCGTGTCGCTGAAAATCTGCGAATTAGTATGTTGCCTTTTTGTATGCACTATTAGTTGTACTAAGTTTTCAGAGTTTAAATTTTCATTATGATTTCGTCTACTTTCAAGAATATTTCATGTGTTATTATCGACATTTATTACCTCATTTTTAGTAAGTTGATGTATTATTAAATCACTTGTTCACCGTGGAATGTAACGCTTCCTAAATGTTAATCTGCAGCAGTGATTGAAGACTATATAAAGACTTTTAGTCAATGTGTATTACTATTGTATCTTAGTAAGCAACTCTGGACAAACTTTTTCCAAGTAAATCGAATGAAATAATCACCCGTGTATACTGTGTACAGGTGTACCTTTTCGACTATTTCTTTTACTCACTGGAGTGGATTAATGAAACTTTATACAAGTCGATAATGAATGTATGGATAGGAAGAAAACCTTTCCCTCTTATAATCTTTGTTCAGTGTTATCTATTTTCTTTCTTATCATTACTAATCCAAATATAAAATAAATGTCCTACTTATGTTTTGCACTAAGTGATATTAAAAGTTATGCTCAAGAAATAAATGTGAGACCACAGGATGCAACATTATCAGAGGCATCTACTGTAGTTCGAAATCTTTGCGGATCATTATATTTTCATTTTCTGTTTTTGTAAGAATAATTGCCAGATATTATTTTCTGATTTGAAAAGTCCGTTTTATGTTCACTATTGAAGCTGCTGAACTAAGCAAATCACTTATAATTCTGTTTATATTTTTCATCCTGTGTTTTCTTTTTTAAAGACTTCGTGACATTCATTTAAAATCCCAGTCCCAATTAATTGATTCCATTCGTCGATCACATTTGGGAAATTCGGATAGATCAGAAAAAATTCGAACTTATAATTTTCCACAAGATCGTATAACAGACCATCGGTTAAGCCATTCTTGGAATAATTTAAACAGGTTTATGAAACAAGCTGTTGGACTTAGTGAACTAATAGAAAGTTTATACAAACAAGATCAACGCGAACAATTAAGACGAAAGTTATGTACAGAGGATAAAGAAAGTTCATTGTGATAAATTTTTCTCTTTATTTTCTCAAAATATACATATATAAAATAAGGCATATCGTGTTTATTTTGCTCTATGAAGTTTGTAGTTAATAATACTTAAACATCGTTTGCCTGTAGCGGGGAATATAATGTACTTCTTTGGAGCTAATCTGGAAGAATGCCTAAAATTGTGTTTAATGCACATCATCACTCATAACTAAGCTACATGTAGAAGCGAAAACTGTCTCCTATGGTACTCTAACCTGCTCCATTAAGAATTATGGTCATAGATTTACAACTGAGATGCTCAAACCGAGACTGACTTTTGGCATCAGCACTAAACTTTATCTTCCAACCCTTCGTTCACTGCTTCCAACTATCCATTTAGTGGTTGTTTTTAGAAACATCAACTGTTATGAAAGCCTTCTTGTATCATGTAACCATAGTATACCATGCATTTGTTACCGAAAGATGACAATAGTTCAGCAAAAGACTGTCTGTAAAAGACGTGGTCTAAAGTCAATGTTCTGATATATTAAGAATCAGTTATTCATATTCGAAAAAATCCCGATCCTCTGGTTCTCAGATACGTGTAAGACAGGCGTAAAACGCAGACTACGTAAGTTATATAGGAAGCCTAATCGCAGTTTCATGAACAACCTGCTCCATTCGAAGTTATCACCACCAAAGTATCTTAGTGGGAAGTGGTGTAGAAGGCCTTATCAGCTGCAAATAAATAAGAGACGATTCTGGGTTCTGAACGTGAGTGTATCCACGAGAGATGTTCTGGGCTGCAGGTTCTAATGCGCCGTCGGCCACTCTTTATTCGCACTGCAGTTTGATGGGGTACACAATCTAGTTGGGGGTATCAAATTCAAAAAATATAAGTTGGATTACTTAAAGTGGTTGATTATGTATTGTCACAAGTATAAGTGATATGGTTTTGGAAGATGCCTTCATAGTAAGTATTTGCAATATGAGGAGCTGCAAGTCTTGTCTTCATAATTATCAGGGAAAGCATAAGTTGTAACCGAAAGGACTATGATACATTTTTGCCAATGTTCAGGTTAATTTGACAGTGTTTTCTTTTTGAAGGAGATTCTCTCGATTGCCTACACATGATTCGTACTAATTATTGCGTCAAATGACCAACCAGATTTGAGGTAACGTCGTGTACCTAATATACTGTGAGCTGTTATAACATCACTTATTATTCTCTCATAACTCAGCAAAAGTAAACTCAAGCATTAGAGTCCTCTTCGTATAGATTGTCTTCGCATAAAAAGAAGAGTTGTGTTGGTCTTAGCCGCATCCCCTATGTAGTTCGAACTGGCATCCGAGCTCTCTGTGGTTATTAGACCGAGATCATGCTCTGAGTAGACAGCTGAGAGCGGACTTCGTTTACAAACGGAAAGTCAACCTTTTATATATTTCACGGAACCATCTTGATCATCTTTTAACAAAATGTAAATAGATTTTTTATGCGCTGTTATCTGCATTAATAAATAACGCTTTAGTAAAGTTAAGCTGTCTAGCTATAATGTGTGAAGATGGAGAGCATACTCACACTTACGTTATTGACAACGGCGATTGAGATATCAAGCAAACGACACAGAGAACAACCAAAAAACTCCCTCAAAAAAAGATTTATCAAGATTTCAAGGCCACCCACAGGAGATGACGCAAAAAATCCTATAGTCGACCTGTCAAAACAACATCTAACGACAACAGAAGAACACATCCTCCATAAAGGTTTGAACAACAACACAAGTGACGCTTTAAAACTCCAATTTTTCGGCGCACTAGATTCATCACTCAAAACGGCCAAAATAAATGGCGAAAGTCAACAATAAACAAGACGAACCGTACTACCACTATCGCGATGGAAGAGGGACAACATCTGACTAACAATACACGAACTAGGGATGATATTGCAATGGTTACAGCAGACAAAAAAAGCAATTAATGAAAATAAAACATTTATTATGGTATTTGCTTCGGTGAACTGTACTAAAAGCACTTACGCTCAACCTTCTTTTTCGCGTTGCTGTCATCATTCATAACTTGCTGCTCGTTACATCGTTCACTATCTCCTTCAAATATATTCTTTACCCTGGATTTACTCCTGATTATCGTGACAGGATAGTAATCAGTATCTAGTGATGATCATAGTCAATCTCGACTCGGTCACCACTAAAATCTGATGAATACAAAGCCGATAAAAAGATTGAACAATGAAATTTGAATTTCTTTAAACAGGCTAGTCAGAGCAGGACATGTCAAAACAAGATCAGGGGAGAATGGAATCAAATGGAGCAGTTGTACGACAATTCTACGGTTGGCTGAAAGGACACAAACTCATTATTCCATTAAGTTCAATTGTTTTCGTCTGTGGAACCCCAACATTCAGCTCATCAAGCGAAGTCTCTAGAAAATTGAAACATCTAGTGGATTTATCCAATCACCACTGCATATCCCATACGCTTTTTCGACAAACTCGAGGAGATTCAAATGAGGAATTGATGGTATCCTTCGACGTAACAGCCTTATTCACCTCAATCGAACCAGGCTTAGCTCATGAAATTCCATCCTTGCTCCTCACCAATGATAAGAATCTCCTAAAGTGTACAAAAGTTCAGAGTCAGTCTCCTAGATCTCTTCGATTCATGCTCAACAACCTGTTTCTAACTCAACAACAAAATCTACGAACAAACGGAAAAAAACCAGTGCGATCATCAATATCAGAACTTGTCGTAGAAGCCGTGATGCAGAGAACAGAAACATCGATTTAGCCAGTAATCAAGCCAAAAATGAGATTTCGTTATGCAGACGCAACATTCATGATCAATAAAAAGAACGTGCTGGAGAATACCGACATTCGGATCAACAACTTCTTTGATGACATAAAATTCGGAATGGAAATGGAATCAAACAATAACCCATCAGTCCTGGATGTACTAATCCTACGAACTTTCATGGAGTAGTGGTAATCATGAACCAGTATATTATACCACTGGCACATAACGATCCGAGGCTTTTTTCCCATGTCTCACAAGCCTTTTCCTTAGTTGATCTTGGGAAGCGTTTGCTAGATGCCGCAAAAAATGGAGATGTTGATGAAGTTAAGAATTTGATAAATAATGGAGCACCATTCACTACAGACTGGTTGGGAATATCCCCTCTCCATTTCGCTGCTATGAATGGACATCTTAGTTCATGTGAAGCGCTCCTACGTGCCGGTATTAGCAGGGACGCTCGAACTAAAGTTGACCGTACTCCTCTTCATTTAGCTGCTCAAGAGGGTCATGCGGACATCGTGGAGTTACTGTTACGTAATGGAGCGGATCTTAGTGCTAAAGATATGTTACGTATGACAGCATTGCACTGGGCAGCTGAAAGAGGTCATACACCTGTTGTTCAAATGTTGATGCGTTTTGGAGCTGATGCACATCTTCAGAACAAATTCGAGATGACTCCTTTAGATATAGCGGAGTGTAAACATCATGATGATGCTCGGGATGCTATGTTAAATACTCAGTATGATTTAGTATCGTCAGTTTGTCGTATGGCTGCCACGAATGGGGATATAGTAGGCGCTAATGCATATATCTTGACAGAAGAAGAGACATTAGTTCCTGCTGCTCCTCCAGCTGATGAGGTGACAGTCACTGCAACAACGGTTGAAGAGTCCTCCAGCATACAAAATTCTGATATCTCCGAGACATTCGCCAATGACGATGATGCTACTAATGAAGAAGAAAAAATTACAACGCATATTAAATTAAAAAGTAACCACAATGGTTCTAAAAAGCTAATATGGAGAACTGAGGGATTGAATAAAAATACAAATGTCAACCTCCATGATGAAAATTCGGAAGCCCAAACCATTTCTAATTCATTATCACAGTCAACACATGCGAATAAAACAGATTCTATTTTGGATACTAAAAATGATCCAAATTTAACTGGAGATATTTTGTTGCCTTTAGGTGAAGATTGTCCAAGCGATGTTATGATAGTTGAGACTCCGGATGGTGAAACGCTTTACGTCCATCAGCAACCGAATGAAGACGGCTCTAGTGGTTTAGTCATTTTAAATGACACAGGTGAACAGGTGAATAATCCGACTTTGATGGCTCAAGTAATGGATGCCTTAGTCACTTTACCAGAGAATATGATAAGCGAAACATTAAGTCCAGATAGCTCTAATGTAAATATTGAATCGGATTTAAATACTTCATCACTTCAACACTTGGATAAGAACACAAACACCATAACCTCGAGGCCAGAATTCAATAAGACAATCGTTAACGACGGATTTTTTCAGCCCAGCACAAATGGTTATCAAACAGGAAATCATCGACTGAGCCCTACGCATACTATAGATAATGAGGACGATGATGAAGATCTTGACAACGATGAATCAGAATCATTAGTAGCTCACTTAGCTGCATTCGCCAACCAACCTGAATCCCAACAAACAACTATCTGCGTAGAGGGGATGGGATCTTGTGCTTCAACCCATGATCTAATAATGTGGTGCTTGTACAATGGAATATTTATCCGTGGTTACGCAGACGAACCAACTTTCGTTATCGAATTTGTTTACCAAGGTGAAGCATACACCCTTTCAGCGTCATATGATTCGCAGTCTGGTTCTATCAACTTTTATCATGTGGAGACCAACCAGAAGTTATAGGAATATTGAGGGAGAAAGTTGTTTCAACTATATTATGTAAATATGTTTATTGAACTCGATTGAGAAGACTTTGTTTACTTAATTTTACTGAATAGTAAATAATTTAATTTTGTTTGTAAATCAAAAATAAATGCATTAAGTAAAAAAAAAAAAAAAAAAAAAAAAAAAAAAAAGGGCGATAACCTCAATCTACCCATGTCTGTGTGGCAGAACATTTTGTTTGCTTACGGCTCCTTACGATATAGCAGGATGTAACAAATCAGTGATATTGATGTTACTTTTCCTAGTTAACCTCGTCTACAACCCATGTCTGTAACCTTGCACTG